TTTTTTTTTCTTTTTTTGTTGTTGTTCTTGGTTGTGGGGCTTGAATTCAGAGCCTGGATGCTGTCCCTGAGCTTTTGTGCTCAACGCTAGCATTCTACCATTTTGAGCTACAGGGCCACTTTCAGTTTTGTGGTGGTTAATTGGATATAAGATTCTCAGGGACTTAACTGCTCTGGTTGGCTTTGAAACTTGATCCTCAGTCTCAGCCTCCTAAGTAACTAGGATTACAGGTGTGAGCCACTAGCACCCAGCTTCAAGGCTGGCATTCTAACACTTGAACCATAGCTCCACTTTTGGCTTTTTGCTGGTTGATTGGAGCTAGTAGTCTCATGGATTTTCCTGCCTGGGATGGTTTCAAACGATAATCCTCACATCTCAGCTTTCTGAGTACCTAAGATTGTAAGCTGAGCCACTAGTGCTCAGCTTCAATTCACCCATTTAAAGTGTACAATTCAAAGCCTGCTAGGAACATCTGCCATGAGCAAGAGAAAACAGTTTTATGTTAATGACAAGACAAAGGAGGGTCCAAGAAAGGCTTGGGTATTGCCCATCTAGGAATATTACCATCATTATGGGTTCACACCAGGGCCTAGTAGTAGAGGGTCTGGTGCCTACTAATCTTCCCAGACAAAGTAAGTGCTATAAATCCAGAGAAAAAGGTTCATCCCAAATCTGGACAGACACTCCAGTCTGAATATGGTTTTTGAGGCCAAGGGAATCCTTAGGAAGCCACAAACCTGCTGTTGACCTTTCTTCTTGCTCTTTTCAGCTCTGGCTGTGGTTATCTTCAATGGTGACTGCATTCTTGAGATGGAGCATGAGCTTCAACCCTTTGGAAACATAGTTCCTTCCCTAGAAGCTCAGAGTCAGAAGGCCTCAGCTCGTCTCTCCTCCTCTGTGGCATATTCCTGTCTTCTCCCAAGTGAACATCTGGCAATGAATTTGCAAGATGGTTCTGCATGCAAACACATATGGTATCTTCACAAGGAGTCCTGGTGACTGAATGGTAATCATTCCTTCTCCCACCCCTGAGAAAACTTGGTTTGCTCTACTTGTTCTAAATTGGGACCTTCACAGAATATTCTTCTCTGGGACAAAAATAAACATGGAAAGAAGACCGAGGGTAGGACTTTTGTCCTGGGGGGTCAGTGGAGGATAAGAGCACAGTGACTGATTTATCTTTCTCTGAGTTTTTGTAGCTCATCAGTTGTTTTGTTGTTAGTGGTGGTGGTGGTAGTGGTTGTAGGGCTTGAACTCTAGGCCTGGGTGCTGTCCCCGAGCAATTTTTGCTCAAGGCTAGTACTCCGCTACTTTGAGCTACAGTACTACTTCCAGTTTTTGAGTGGTTAATTGGAAATAAGAGTTTCATGGGGATTCTTCTGCACAGACTGTCTTCAAACCACGATCCTCAGATCTCAGCCTCCTGAGCCACTAGGATTACAGGTCTGAGTCACAAGGACCCAGCTCATGCACTTGTTTGAAAGTGGTTAAGAGAACCAGAGGAATTAAGCTTTAGAAAGGGGGCTTTCTTTTTCTTTTTCCTTTCTCTTTCTTTCTTTCTCTCTCTCTCTCTCTCTTTTCTTTCTTTCTTTCTGTCAATCATGGGGCTTGAACTCTGGGCCCGAGCACCGTACCTCAGCTCTTCAGCTCAAGGCAAGCACTCTACCACTTGAGCCACAGTGCCACTTTTGGTTTTCTGGTGGTTTATTGGAGGTAAGAGTCTCACGGACTTTCCTGCCTGGGCTGGCTTTGAACCATGATCCTCAGATCTCAGCCTCCTGAGTAGCTAGGATTTCAGGCATGAGCCACCGGTGCCCAGCCATGAAGGGGACACTTTCAACTAAAGAGTTATAGGAGTTTTAGGGTAGCTGAGCCCAGCCTGGATTATTTAGCTCAACAGCAATGATTATCCCTGGCCCTAGGATAAACGCAAAGAAGGTGTGGAATACGCATCCTCATATGATGGGACCTGTGGTGCTCACCTCATGGCATCCAGGAGGCAGATGGAGACAGGAAAGAGCCAGGTACAAGGTCCATCTTTTCAGGGATGTCACCAATTATACACTTCTCCCAATTAGACCCCTCCTTAGCTAGTTTCTACCACTTTTCAATAGTCTATTCGAGTTGAATCCATTGATGGATGAATCCATTAATGCAGTGAGAACCTTCATGATTCAGTCACTTCCCAAAACTCTCCCCTCTGAACACTGCTTGTACTGGTGCCAAGCTCTTAATACAGGAATCTTTTGGGATTTTTTTTTTTTTTGGTTGGTCGTGGGGCTTGAACTCTGGGCCTGAGCGCTGTCCTTTAGCTCATCAGCTCAAGGCTAGTGCTCTACTACTTGAGCTACAGCGCCACTTCCTACAGGAATCTTTTGGGGGAACACTTCATATCCAAACTTTTTGGCCCTAATTGCTGCACAAGGAGGGCAGAGAAGAAGGCAGTGCTGGGCTGGGAAGGTGGCTCAGTGGTAGAGTGCTTGCCTTGCATGTATGAGGCCCTGGGTTCAATTCCTCAGCACCACATACCCAGAAAAAGCTGGGAGTGGCGCTGTGGCTCAAGTGGTAGAGCACTAGCCTTGAGCTGAAGAGCTGAGGGACATGCCCAGGCCCAGAGTTCAGGCCCACAACTGACAAAAAAAAAAAAAAAAGCCGGGCGCTGGTGGCTCAAGCCTGTAATCCTAGCTACTCAGGAGGCTGAGATCTGAGGATCGCGGTTCAAAGCCAGCCCGGGCAGGAGAGACCGTGAGACTCCTATCTCCAATAAACCCCACAAAACCGGAAGTGGCGCTGTAGCTCAAGTGGTAGAGCGCTCGCCTTGAGCTGAAGGACAGCGCCCAGGCCCAGAGTTCAAGCCCCACGACCGACAAAAAAAAAAAAAAAGGCAGTGCTTTGGTATGTGCAATGAATCCTGATGCTTGTGGGGTGGGGAAGATAATAGATGTGCCAAACCCCATAGTAATCAGAGCCGCTCCACCTGCTTTGTTCTCAGGATGGGAATACTTCCCTGCTTGTGCCTAGGGCTTTACAAGGCCCACATGTCAGCCCTAACATGTCTTTGTATCTTATGTTCAGTAGAGGTAAGATTTTTTTTTTTTAAGTGCTAATGTGAATAAAACACTGTGATCCTCAGATTTCAGCTTCCTAAGTAGTTAGGTTTTTACTGTCACTGGCTCCCGGCTCATTATACTTTTTGCCCGTCCTGGGGCTTGAACTCAGGGCCTTGGCACTGTCCCTGAGCTTCTTTTGCTCAAGGATGGAACTCTACCACCTGACCCACAGAGCCTCTGTGGCCTTTCCGTGTATCCAGGGCTTCATGCGTGTGAGGGGAGCACTCTACCACTGAGCCACCGTCAGGCCGCTGATTTTATTTTTAAAGAAAAAAAAATGGGGTGCTGAGATTCCCCCGTAGTGGACTGGGAAGTTTGTGACCTACCCGAGATACAAAGCATAGGTATGAATCAAACTGCATAGGGCAGTGAGCTAGCGGGCCAAGGAGCGGCCCTAAAGATGAGGACCATTTTGGCTCGCTGAGAGGCTCCGCAGCCGCTGTAGAAGGTGCGCAGGCTGGGGCGCAGTCGGCTGCACGTGTCTTCGGTGCTTACGTGCGCTCCGTGACCGCCGCGCTGGACGCGGGACCAGGGCAGAGGGCGCATGCGTCTTAGCGCTCCAGTACGCGCCCCCTCTCCCTTGGCGGCCGCAGCTAGGGCCCCGGACGCATGCGCACACCTGGGGAGCGGAGGGCGGTCACCACCGAGTGGAAAGATTTGGGCGTGAACCTGAGCGGGAGTCGGGCGGGGGGACGTGAGTGCGCAGGCGCGGCCGGGGATTGAAGGCAGGCGACCGGAATCTCGGCCATTCTCATTCGGCGCTGCATCTCGAGCCCGCCGCCATGGCTGCCTACAAACTGGTGCTGATCCGGCACGGCGAGAGTGCCTGGAACCTGGAGAACCGCTTTAGCGGCTGGTACGATGCAGACCTGAGTCCGGCGGGCCACGAGGAGGCGAAGCGCGGCGGGCAGGCCCTGCGAGGTACGCGGCGGGCCGGTGGCGGTGGCGGTGCCCCGGGCCCCAGCGCTGGCTCGAGGCCCCCCCCGCCCCCCGGTTGCACCCGAGCACTGTAGGAGAGGGCCGGTGCCTTACGCGGCGTCTCCAGTTTAGTTTGCTGTAGGGGAGATGGGCGCAGAATGGAGCGTGCGCTTGCTCAAGGTCACAGTGGGGAGTGGGGCTGAGCGGGGAAGAGAACGCGGGAAGCGCCCTGCAGCTGGTTCTGGACACTGCTTGGCGAAATTTTCCCTTTGTGGTGTGAACATTTACTAACTTGGGGACGGGGTGCCTGCCCGGGGTGGAGCCACCTGTGGCGCTCAGGCCTTCACAGGGGTCCCTTAGTGATGCCCGCTGCCTTACAGCACCAATGTGCAGCCAGCGGCTGCAGATCCCAGCGAAGCAAAAGGCCACAGACTGGTCCCCTGGGCAGTGCGGGCAAACCAGGCTGCGCTGGAGGTCTTTAACAGGCCTCTTGGCCCCAAGAGATTCCGCATGCTGTGGAGAGCCTGGCATCGTGCCACAAATGATGTGAACAAAATGCACCCAAGACCCAGCTGAATGAATGATTTGAGTTAATGCTACAGCAGGCTTACTCCTTAAAACTCTTCTTGGGCCTCAGTTTTAGTTGGGAAGAATGAGGATTGGGAAGATGATTTTTCCAAGGTCATGTCTACTTAATATTAGCCCAGCGTCCTTGCCCCATTTCTTCTGGGTGGGGTAACAGTGTGAAGAGCTGGCATGCGTCTTGGCCAGGGACAGAGGCTGGTCAAAGGGTATAAATGGCAGAGATAATGTTTGCCTATCCAGGCTTGTCCCCGGAGCTGATTCTGTCTGTGATTTTGGAATGCTAATATGGAAGCATTGCCTGCTTCCTGCAATTCAAAGAATCCCTGGACTGAGATGGACAGATACCTCCACAGATGTTAAAGGCAGATCCTGCCCTGCTCTAACCTCTGGACAAAGCAGCAGCCATATAAGAGGGCTATTGATGCTTGCTTGATGTGCCTCTGGTATTTGTCCCCGCATTGACCTTTGCTTCTTTTTTTTTTTACTATATGTCGTTTTGAAATAAAGCAAAGCCGTGGAAAGCTTGGGAAAGGTAATCTTGAGGGGGTATGTAAATGTTTTGAGATGATGGCCTGTGGTAAAATCATACCATGAGGCCGAGAAAAAGAAAGTGCTGGTAAAGGAGGCCATTTTCTTTATCTATCTAGCAGGAAGAACTGTTTAGGTATGTGATGGTTTGCCCATGCCTAGCCCAGGACCATGTAAATTGCCTCTGCCTTCTAGTTAACACAATCATATGGTTAACATGTAAACTAACATTTTAGAAGATCAGGTATAAGGCTAGGCATGGTGGCATACACCTATAATTCCAGCACCTGAGATGCTGAGGCAAGAGGACTAAGGTTCAAGGCCAGGTTTATCTACATTGCAAGACTGTCTCAAAAAAGAGAGAAAAAGGGGTTCAAACCTCTCAAAGAACTTGAGAAAAAAAATCTATGGGTGTCACAGATGACATTAAAGAATAAAAGACTACCCAGACAACTGTTGCTCATACCTGTAAGTCCTAGTTACTCAGAAGGCTGAGATCTGAGGAGCACAGTTTGAAGCCATCCCAGGCAGGAAAGTTCTAGACTCCAGTTAACTACCAAAAAGCTGGAAGTGAAGCTGTGATTCAGAAAGTTCAGAGCAAGTTCCCTGGCCCTGTGTTAAAGCCCCTGCACACTCCCCCCAAAGATTAAAAGCAAAAGCTAAACAATGAAGTCCATTATGAATAATCTAGAAATATGAAACACATAAGATAAATTATTTCTCCTGATAGTAGGATTTGTACAGTTTTAAACTTAATTTCCAGAGTAAGCTAGTGAGAACTGAGTTCCCCTGTTACTTTAAGGCTGTGAACAATAGGAATGCTATGTGGAGACTGGAGTCCACACTGTTGGTCTACCTTACTGCTTACTAAACTTTGGTTAATGGGTAAAGTTAGAAGAGGCTCTAGCCATGTGATGGTGACTAACATATGTAATCTTAGCTACTCACGAGGCTGAGATCTGAGGATCATGGTTCAAAGCCAGTTCAGGCAGGAAAATCTGTGAGACTGTTAATCTCCAGTTAACCACCAAAAAGCTGGAAGTGGAGTTGTGGCTCCAGTGGTATAGGAACAGCCTTGAGCAAAAAAGCTAAAGGACAGCACTGGCCCTGATTTAAAACTCTAATGTACATACATACATACAAACACACACAAGAGGTTCTTAACCCTTTTGATGTTCACATTCTCTTTTTTTAATTCCAGTCCTGGGACTTGAACTTAGGGGCTAGACATTGTCCCTGAGCTATTTTATTTTGCTCTGGGCTCCGTTTCTGACTAAGAAATGGGTAAGGAGTCTCATGGACTGCCCAGGCTGGCTTCTAATAGCCATCCTCAGATCTCAACCTTCTGAGTAGCTAGGATTATAAATTGATAGTATTCTTTCTTAAGCCCTAAGCGGAACTATTTTTCTCCCTGGGGACCGCTCAACTACAAGTGGAAATAATTGCAGTGAAACCTGGAGCTTTTCATCACAGGAACTGAGGCTTGCACTGTGGTTCTGCTAGTGACTCAGCCTTTGTTGGGGAGCCATTTCTTCATTTAAGATTGGTAGGGAAATAACCATAGCCAAGTCTAGTCAGACTTCTCCCCATGCTCAGTGAAGGGCTGTCTTTTCTTTTGTGGGTGGCAATAGTTTTTTAGTCATTAATCAAGCTATCCTTTTTTTTTTTTTTTTCCCCAAGCTATCCTTTTCTTTCTTTTTTTTTTTTTTTGGGTCCGGTTGTGGGGCCTGAATTCTGGGCCTGGGCACTGTCCCTCAGCTCTTCAGCTCAAGGCTAGCACTCTACCACTTGAGCCACAGCGCCATTTCCGGCTTTTTTCTTATGTGGTGCTGAGGAATCGAACCCAGGGCCTCAGGCATGCAAGGCAAGCACTCTACCACTGAGCCAACTTCCCAGCCCCCTATCCTTTTCTTGACAAGAAAATTCATCTCACATTTTATTAGTTACTGTTGCTAATGTATGAAACATTGTGAACTGTATGAAACAGCGGGGAAGTTTTGGGCTGAATTTTAAAGAGGGCCAGTACTGTTGTACAGAAAGTAGGAATATTTTCCTGGCATACTACATAAAGGGCCATCTCACCCATGCATGAGGGAGACTAATCCTTGAAATAAGACTGATTCATTGTAAACTATTTGTTGAGCCAACATACCACTTGATTTCCCTCCCAGCTCAATAAAGACTGTGTTGGGAGGAGAGACTGGAGAGTTTATAAAGGAACCAGACAGTACACAGCATTTACTCTTCAATGAATGGCATCTAACTCTGCTTTAACTTAATAAATAGGTGTTTTTCTCTGAGGAATTAGTCCTGTACTTTTGACTAAAGAGGAACTAAGAATTGCTACATTCACAGAGAAATAATTTCTTTTTTGGGGGGGGGTGGGGGGAAGTCTGGTTGTGGGGCCTGAACTCTGGGCCTGGGCACTGTCCCTCAGCTCTTCAGCTCAAGGCTAGCGCTCTACCACTTGAGCCACAGAGCCACTTGAGGCTTTTTTCTTTTTGCTTATGTGGTGCTGAGGAATCGAACCCAGGGCCTTAGGCATGCAAGGCAAGCGCTCTACCACTAAGCAACCTTCCCAGCCCCAGAGAAACAATTTCATATAACAAATTGTATCAATGTGCTGTAAGATCTCTTACTGCATTGGTATTATAAAGTCCAAGCTAGGCTCTGGTGGCCTAATCTTATCAGGAGGCTAAAGCCTGGAGGAATTCTATTCAAAGCCAGCCCAGGCAGAAAAGTCTGAGATACATCTCCAATCAACCAGCAAAATGCTGGACTGGAGGCATGGCTGAGGTAGTAGAATGTCAGCAGCTGAGAGTATGAGTTCAAGTTCTGGTAGCAGCATATATACACAAATCCCATTTTCTTTTTTGGTGGTACTAGGGCTTGCTAGGCACTTTCACCTCTAGTCCTAAATCCCATTTTGCCAAGACTAGAAGTCTAGTAAATATTAGAAGTGACAATTTAATATAAACACCAATGGCCAGGTCTGGTAGTGTACATCTGTAATTCCTGCGATTTGAGGCTAAGGCTCAAGAATCATGGGTTTCAGGCCAGCCAGGGCTATACAGTAAGATTCTACCTCAAACACACATCTTCCTTAGGAATTAGGAAAACGGGGATAGCCAAAAATGATGGGTGATAAGAGTTGGATTTTTGCCAAGCATAAAGCTGAGTTCACACCCTATACAAAAAAAAGTTTCTTTTTTTTTTTGTCGGTCGTGGGGCTTGAACTCTGGACCTGAGCGCTGTCCCTCAGCTCTTCAGCTCAAGGCCAGCACTCTACCACTTGAGCTACAGCGCCACTTCCGGTTTTCTGGTGGTTTATTGGAGATAGGAGTCTCACAGTCTCTCCTGCCCGGGCTGGCTTTGAACCTCGATCCTCAGATCTCAGCCTCCTGAGTAGCTAGGATTACAGGCGTGAGCCACCAGCGCCCGGCCTTCTTTTTTTTTTTTGTCTTTGTTGGTCAAGGGGCTTGATCTCAGCCTGGGCACTGGCCCTGAGCTTTTTCACTAAAGGCTAGAGCTCTATCACTTTGAGCTACAGTGCCACTTCTGGTTTTGTGGTAGTTAACTGGAGATGAGTCTCATGGACTCTCCCACCTGCGCTGACTTCACACTGATCCTCAGATCTCAGCCCTCTAAGTAGCTAGGATTACAAGTGTGAGCCACTGGTGCCTGGCAAAAAAAATTCTTTTTTTTCTAGATGCTAGCTATGAATTTGACATCTGCTTCACCTCAGTGCAGAAAAGAGCAATTAGGACCCTCTGGACAGTGCTGGATGCCATTGACCAGATGTGGTTGCCAGTGGTGAGGACTTGGCGCCTCAATGAGCGGCACTATGGGGGTCTGACTGGCCTCAATAAAGCAGAAACTGCTGCTAAGCATGGTGAGGCCCAGGTGAAGATCTGGAGGCGCTCCTATGATGTCCCACCACCTCCAATGGAGCCTGACCATCCCTTCTACAGCAACATCAGTAAGGTAAGGGCAAACTCAGCTTTAGCCATTCTACCCAGGATCAGAGGGTTACAATTTGGGTCTCACCATTTTCCTATAACTTTTAGTAATATATGTCTAGTGCCCCTAAGCTTCTAGTTTATGGTAAAATAATTAATTTTCCCTTTGCCAAGAAATGACTCTCACTTGTTAGAAGATGTAGTTTGTTGTACAGCTGAGAACAATTTCTTTATATCCCCATTACCATATTTTATGAAAACCATCCATATCCCTCCCAAACTGACCTCTCAAATAGAAGTGAGCTAAGCACTGGTGGCTGTGCCTATAATCCTAGCTACACAGGCTGAGATCTGAGGGGTGTGGTTCAAAGCCAACCAGGGCAGGAAAAGTCCAAAGAGACTTCTCTCCAGTTAACCAGAAAAAGCCAGTAAAGCTGTGGTTCAAGTGGTAGAGCTGTGGCCTTAAGCAGAAGACCTGGGGGGGGGGAGGGGGAAAGAAATGTATTCTTTACCTGACTTATGTAACTGTAACTTCTTTATATATCACTTTTGCAACATTTTTTTTGGTTGGTCTTGGGGCCTGAACTCGGCCTGGACACTGTCCCTCAGGTCTTCAGCTCAAGGCTAGTGCTCTACCACTTGAGCCACAGTGCCACTTCCAGCTTTTTTCTGCTTATATTGTGCTAAGGAATTGAATCTAGGGCCTCATGCATGCAAGGCAAGCACTCTACCACTGAGCCACCTTCCCAGCCTAACGAAAAAATTTTTAAAAAGAGCTCAGGACAGCGCCTAGGCCCTGATTGCAAGCCCCAACACAAGAAGTGAGTTGGGATGACCTTGTTGCACAGCTTTTTTTTTTTTTTTGTCCCTCATGGGTCTTGAGCTCTGGGCTTGGTCCCTATCCCTCAGCTCTTCAGCTCAAGGTGAGTGCTTTACCACTTGAGCCACAGCACCACTTCTGGTTTTCTGGTGGTTTATTGAAGAGTCTCAGGGACTTCCCTGCCCCGGCTGGCTTTGAACCATGATCCTCAGATCTCAGCCTCCTGAGTAGCTAGGATTACAGTACAGATGTGAGCCACCGACTCCAGGCTTGTATAACTATTTTTCCTTTTCTAATGATATTTCTTTCCAACTGGGCAATGAGGGGCCAGTATAATGATCTCCTTCCCAAGCTCTCAGTTGTATTCTGTACTCTGGGGAGAATGATGGCGGAATTGATACATAGTGAAAATCATTTAACTGATGTGACTACTAATAGTTGCCAAACTTGAAAGTTCTTTTTGTTGCTTAGGATCGCAGGTACGCAGACCTCACTGAGGATCAGCTGCCCTCCTGTGAGAGCCTGAAAGATACTATTGCCAGAGCACTGCCCTTCTGGAATGAAGAAATTGTCCCCCAGATCAAAGAAGGGAAAAGAGTTCTGATTGCAGCCCATGGAAATAGCCTCCGGGGCATAGTCAAACATCTGGAAGGTATGTTCATTTTTTAGAGTGGCCCTTAAGGATAATAGCAGAACTGCCATCAGTCAGGGACTTAATACAAAGGATAAAAGGGCTAACATACTAATAGTCTCAAAGACAGTCTGTGTTGACATCTAGTGGAAAAACACCTTGTACTTTTCTCAAAATGGTTTTCAGAGCTGTGACAGTTGGACCTTCTCGAGAGAATGTTTTATATATAAAATCTCAGGTCCTATTAACCCATCTCCTAGGTGATTAATACACCTAAAAGTTTGAGATGCCCACTTCTAGACTTTAAGTTTGCCAATCAAAACCTACTAGTAACATCTTTAGTCACAATCGGGCTCATCTTCACAAATCTCTGAATTTACATCCTAAGTTGTTTCACTCCTGAGAACTTAGAAGCCCAGAAGGGCTAGGCTTTGGCAGATGTGTTATGGACTATGTAAGGGTGTCAGAGATAAATCCTGCTTCACTGTGGGCTTTGAGGGCTCACTTTGGTAGATCTGGAGAGTAGTCTTTTCCTTCTAATTTGCTGGTGACCCATCTAGGAACCTTGTGTACCTTCTATTGTCTTCCTTTTTTAGTTCAGTTGCTTGAAAAATTGGTGGTACTGGGGGTCACTCCTTGAGGGATGGATATTTCTACAGAGCAGAATTACTATCAGATTTTAGAGTGTCTTGATCTAATTCTTGCCCAAATGCTTTGTCACTGAGGGATGTCAGTGAAAAGGTGATACAGTTTTACACCTTGGTTTTTACACCTGTGTTTTTGCACATTGATGAGCATGGTGGCTGTTTTCAGGTCTCTCTGAAGAGGCCATCATGGAGCTGAACCTGCCAACTGGTATTCCCATCGTCTATGAACTGGACAAGAACCTGAAGCCGATCAAGCCCATGCAGTTCCTGGGGGACGAAGAGACCGTGCGTAAGGCCATGGAAGCTGTGGCTGCCCAGGGCAAGGCCAAGAAGTGAAGGAGAGCAGGCCAACTGCTATCCCTCAGAATACCTTCCCTGCCCATTCCTTCCTTTGCACCTCACACTGACCACATCTGTACATCTTAAGTTGTAGGTAACTGCAGATGGGGACCAGTAGCTCCCATTTTCATTGTTAGCATTGTCTCTTACACCACTCCCTTCATAGAATCTAGTCAGAATGGCACCTTTGGGGTGCAGGTTTGCTGCCTGAGCCCAGGGAAGGTTCCTTTTATATTTAGGAGGGTTGAGTGACAGTAATTCCAGTTTTTCCTAGTCCTTTGTTTACTAAGGACCTGCTTGAATAGTGGTTAGGCAGGAACCCTGCCATGGTGACCAGTAGGAAGCCAGAGTTCATTGTGAGCCAGGACCCATCAGGTCGCTGTTGAGAAGGCTTGAGTCATTCCAGTGGAAGGTGAAAGTGTCCTGCACGGTGAATTCAAAACAGCTATTTCCTCCTGACTCCAGAGGTGCTGGCTCCAGATGGTTGGGATCAATCCTGAACTACATTTTTTGTGTTATATTCACTTTTACAATAAAAAAAATACATATATATATAGCTATTAAAAACACTGAATAAAAACACATAAGGGTTTTTAGTGACAGTTGAAATAGTCGCACATGTGGTCATCAGAAGATAAGCCATTCCTCACACCAATATGGGAAAGCTTCTTGGTCTCTGAGGACAGGAATGCTTCCTGTTTCTACTTAAACCCTTCCTGCCTTGTTCTGTGGCAGTGAAATTCCTCTTAATTGTGCAAGTGTTTCACTGTCTGGTTTCTGAATCAAGTTCCAGTTGCTTGGCTCTGCCACATGGACCTTATACTTATTTTGAGCATAATTACTCAGTCTTTTTCCAGATCAGTGTAATAAAAGGAGTGATGTGCAATATTTCATTGTGTGGTGTATTATACCTCTTGCCTTGATGCCTGTAAAGCTTTTATGACACGTTTGAGTTTCAGAGCAACTATTACATTCTGACAGCACTTGAGTGTGGAGCTTCTAGTACTTTGCTTTTTTCTTTTTGGTTGGTCATGGGGCCTGAACTCTGAGCCTGGGCACTGTCCCTCAGCTCTTCAGCTGAAGGCTAGTGCTCTACCACTAGAGCCACAGTGCCACTTCTGGCTTTTTCTGCTTATGTGGTGTTGAATCAAACCAGGGCCTCATGCATGCAGAGCAAGCACCCTCCCACTGAGCCACCTTCCCAGCCCTGTACTTTGTACTTTCTTTCCTTTTTTTGTGCCCATCCTGGGGCTTGAACTCTGCCTGGACACTGTTCTTAAGCTTTGTTGCTCAAGGTAGTTAGAGATTTACCACTTGAGCCAAGCTCCACTTCTGGCTTTTTGGTGGTTAATTGGAGCTAAAAGTCTCACAGGCTTTCCTGCCTGGGCTGGCTTTGAATGGCTATCCTCAGGTCTCAGCATGATGAGCCATCGCTACCTGGCTCTGTCCTACTTTTCAATTCATACTTAACACTTATTGGGGGTACCACTCTACTATCTGGATTACCACATGCCTGTTACTCTCACTAAAGCATAATGTATGTGAGGGATGTGTAGTGCCTGACCCAGTGCTTGGCACCTAGAAAGTGAAAGCACGTAGGAACTTGAGACGACTATAATCAGACAACAGAAATTGGTAAAATTTCTTGGTCATAGTTAAAAAAAATGTAAGGACTATCAAAAGGAATAGGCTATTTCCAACATCATTGAGTTTGCTGCTGCCTCCAAAGGATAATTTTCACCACTCAAGGGCGAAATTTCACTAAGATGTTCATAAGAATAGTGTTCCAAATTTCTGAACAAATTTCTAGCAGCTTTTTCTAGAGATAGATGCTGATCTTAGCCATCTGAATGAAGACCATGACGTCTTGATATCTTTATGCATGTATCCTTGGAAATAGCTTACCCCCTCCTTGGGGTAAAAGGTGCTTAAGTCTGCAAGAATTCAGGCTGTACTCGGGCCACTTTCCGGAATTCCTTAGTGTGGGTCTTAGGGCACTGCATCTCACACCAGCTGATGGGAACCATCTGGACACCTAGAAGGAAAAGGGGAGTGTTGGAGCTGGGATCCACATGCTTCCTTGAGACCCTTTTTCAGCTGGATATGCAACTGAAGTGTCAGGTTGGGATGTAGTTCAGTGGCAGAGTGTTAACTGCATAAAGCCTGAATTCAATCCCTAACACTGAAAAGTTTCACCTAGTGAAACCCACCTCACCCAGAGAATATGGATTGTTTCTTTAGATTTGGGAAAATATTGCAATTGCAGACATATTCTGGGATATGCAACTTCATCAGTGTGCAAACAAAGCCAAGGCATCACTGGTATGATTTTGTTTTTGAGGGTCAAGTCCAGGAAGGGTCTCATGCGTACTGGGCAAGTGCTCTGTCACATTTAACTGCATCTCCATCCCTAGATACAGTTACAGGGGACCAAATCTTTTGTTCTATTCACAAGTCACTATTCATACTTCAGTGCTTTCTAAATAATTAAGAGGTCAAGGAATAACAATGGATTAACATCAAACGACAATTTCCAGTAAAAACTTAGGAGCAGATCATAGACCAACTCACCTGATTCACTGTGGGCTACCACCACTCCCAGCTCATTTTCGGCAGTGGTCAGCAGGTAGTTAGATTGTGCATCTCCTAGGGAGATCTAGCAAAACACTTGTGAAGGAAAATGATGGGTTTTAGTTCTTCCTTACCTATAGCCACTTGAGTTCTTTTTCTACCTCTATTTCTTTTGACAAAGAGCCAGAAATCTGTTAGAATAAAGGATACCACTTTAGCTAAGACAATGTCACCTGGACGGAAACTCTTATAAATTTCAACCTGCAAAGAAAGAACAACAGTGATAAGTGAAAGCTATTGATTAAGTCTACATGAAAATTATTAATCATCCCCCTTTCCTCACAGTAGAGCCAAGCTACTTTGTTAGGTTTAGGAATTTTTTATTTCAATTCTTTATTCTTAAAAAAAGGCTATTACTACAGAGAGGTTACAGTTATATCAATCTGTTTTCTAATCCTGCTGGTGGATGTCAGTATTACTCAAGTCAGTGAAGACTTCACTTGCTCCTCTAAATTAAAGACTTTTAATTAAGTAACTTAATCAGCAATCTGACTTGTACAAAAGGCACTATAGTTGGTTTTGAAAAAGCCCAGGGTAGTCGGGCGCTGGTGGCTCACGCCTGTAATCCTAGCTACTCAGGAGGCTGAGATCTGAGGATCGCAGTTCAAAGCTAGCCCGGGCAGGTAAGTCCATGAGACTCTTATCTCCAATAAACCGCCAGAAAACCGGAAGTGGCGCTGTAGCTCAAGTGGTAGAGCACTTGCCGAGAGCTGAGGGACAGTGCCCAGGCCCAGAGTTCAAGCCCCACGACCGACCAAAAAAAAAAAAAGCCCAGGGTAAATCTGAGGAAAGAGCAAAAGATAGCTGGGCACGATGGCACATAAACCTATCACCTGGAAGACCAAAACAGGAAGATGAGTTCTGGACCATGTAGGCTGGCTACACAGCAAGATGCTGTCTCAAAGAGAAATGAATGAAAAAAATGTTGAGAGAGGAATAGTGAGGCTTTATATGCTACAGCAGGAAAGGAATTAATTTCCACATTCCCATAGACATTTGAAATTCTCTGGGATATTTTTTTCCCCCTCTTTTCAGTCCTTGTGAATGAATAGAGTTGTAAACATGGTAAATAAGTGCTCTACTACTAGGCTACGATCCCAGCCCTCACTGGCATAATAATTGAGAAATAATTCCTAAAGCCATGGGGGTGGGGAAAAAAAACAAACCAACCAACAACCTTGTCTTTTTCAGTTGCTCGGACATCTTCTTTCCTATTAAAAAAAAAAAAGTAATAGAAAGATTAACTGTGAGAAAGAATAATCTTGCAGATTCCTAGCAAACTAAAAAGCTACAAGAGAAGACAGAATAAGCCAAGATGGGCACCCAGGTGCTACCACAGGATGAAGGGTGGAAAGGTCTCCTCGATGTGCACTGAGAAGAGAAAACAACTTTTGCCCATTTTAGGATTACAGGACAGTAGTAATGATACTTATGAGTCAGGACAAGCAGATCGGATTTTTCAGGAAAGGATGAGGAACACTGTTGCCTCCGGAGAATGTGAAGAGAGGCAACAAAAAATCACATAAAATCCTGAAGCCATGGGGCTGGGAAGGTGGCTCAGTGGTAGAGTGCTTGCCTTGCATGCCTGAGGCCCTGGGTTCGATTCCTCAGCACCACATAAGCAAAAAGAAAAAAAGCCAGAAGTGGCACTATGGCTCAAGTGGTAGAGTGCTAACCTTGAGCTGAAGAGCTGAGGGACAGCGCCCAGGCCCAGAGTTCAGGCCCCATGACTGGACCTTCCCCCCCCAAAAAAAAATACTGAAGCCAGAAAGGGCCTTAAAAGTTAATTATCTGAGCTGGATAGCAGTAGCTCCTAGCTACTCAGGAGGCTGAGATCTGAAGATCAAAGCCAGCCCAGGTAGGAAAGTTATGAAACTTTTTTTTTGGGGGGTCGGTTGTAGGGATTGAACTTTGGGCCTGGGCGCTATCCTAGAGCGCTTCACCTCAAGACAAGCACTCTACCACTTGAGCCATAACATCACTTCCAGTTTTCTGAGTGGTTTATTGGAGGTAAGAGTCTCATGGACTTTCCTGCCCAGGCTGGCTTAGAACTGTGATCCTCAGGTCTCTGCTTCCTGAGTAGCTAGGATTACAGGCGCGAGCCACCAGCACCTGGCTTATTTTTATTGTATTATTATTTTGTGGTTGTGGGGGCTTGAACTCTGGGCCTGGGCGCTGTCCCAGAGCTCTTCAGCTCAAGGTTAGCAGTCTATCACTTGAGCCACAGTGCCACTTGGGTTTTCTGGTGGCTTACTGGAGATGAGAGTCTTGTTGACTTTCCTACCAAGGCTGGCTCTGAACCACGGACATCAGATCTCAGCCTCCTGAGTAGCTAGGATTACAGGTGTAAGCCACCTGTGCCCGGCTTATTTTTTTTTTTATTCTGGTACCAGAGCTCAAATTCATGGCCTACAAGTGTTGTCCCTTAGCTTTTATACTCAAGCCTGGTGCTCTATCACTTGAGCCACAACTCTACTTCTGGCTTTTTGATGGTAATTAGTGATGAGTCCGAGGGACTTTCCTGCCTGGGTTGGTTTCAAACTTTGATCCTTAGATCTGTTTCTTCAGTAGCTAGGATTATAGGTGTGTAAGCTACCAGTATCTGGCTAAACCTCTATTCATCTTCTCTTTCTGTCTTAACTTGTAGCATATTTTCTTTGGATAGTATAAGGGAGAATGGAAGAATAAATGGGAAATAAAAGCAGGCAGATATATGAATTTTAATTGTTTCTAAAAATCTAGTCTCTTCCACTATCCTTGTCTCATGGTAGATGCTGAGGCCAGTGAAGACAAGCCTATTTCTTACCGAATAGTTCCTCGAAAAGAATTCTTAAGTGGTGTGGATCCCACATAGAGGATATGTACTTTGGCAAAACGTGAATTGATGCTAGAGACCTGTGGAATAGAGAAGAGTTAACATCAGAGCATTCATTAGCAACTGTTTTAAGAAACTAGGAATTATTAGGTTTTAGTTTATAAAATCCTAGAATTTAAAACAAGCTAACTTCTGTCTTTCTCTGTGATATTTGTTGATTAACAGCCACAGTGGCCACCTGATAAGAGTTATTGCCGAATCAAATGAGATGATATGGAACAGATTCTAAAAAGGACAGAAGTCCAAACTGGGTGTGCTCATGCATACCTGGACAATAATCCTAGTTAGTTAGGTGGTTGAGGCCGTAGGATTAAATTTGAGGCCAATTTAGGCTTTGTAGAGAGTTAGAGACAAGGCTTATCAACTTAGTGAGAATCTGTTT